TCATTTTTATTCCAAAACTTCAAAGATTCCAGTTTCTGTGTAATTGAGTTTGTAACTAAAAGAGGACGTGTCAGGTGGTAAATGAAGGAACCAACGTCTAAGGGCTTCGTCCTTCGAGAAAGCAAAGCTGACAGAGGCGAGAAGGCAGAAGAGTGAATGGCACAGGGAACTGACCGAAAGTTCTGGATCTCTACGGCAGGATCAGAAGGACAGTGGGACTGACCTAGACGTCCAGCAGCACAGCCAGGGCTGAGGGATGTGTGGTCTAGACACACAGTGGATCTTGGTCAGCCACGGGGAACACAGCCAGGGCTGACGGATGCGTGGTCTAGACACACAGTGGATCTTTGTCAGCCACGGGGAACAGAGCCAGGTCTGAGGGATGCGTGGTCTAGACACACAGTGGATCTTTGTCAGCCACGGGGGACCACAGCCAGGTCTGAGGGATGCGTGGTCTAGACACACAGTGGATCTTTGTCAGCCACAGGGGACACAGCCAGGGCTGAGGGATGCGTGGTCTAGACACACAGTGGATCTTGGTCAGCCACGGGGGACCACAGCCAGGGCTGACGGATGCGTGGTCTAGACACACAGTGGATCTTTGTCAGCCACGGGGAAACACAGCCAGGGCTGAGGGATGCGTGGTCTAGACACACAGTGGTTCTTGGTCAGCCACGGGGGACCACAGCCAGGGCTGAGGGATGCGTGGTCTAGACACACAGTGGATCTTGGTCAGCCACGGGGGACCACAGCCAGGTCTGAGGGATGCGTGGTCTAGACACACAGTGGATCTTGGTCAGCCATGGGGGACCACAGCCAGGTCTGAGGGATGCGTGGTCTAGAGACAGTGGATCTTTGTCAGCCATGAGGGAACAGAGCTGGGTAATTTGGAGGAAGATGAATGCAAATGGAGACATCATACTAAACGAATTAATCCAATCTCAGACAAATAGTGCATGTTTCTCTCATTTGTGGCTCAGGTTTTATCTGTACATAAAACATGCTTTAGGAACTAATGGGAGTAAGGGACAGGCGCAGGAAGGATAGGCTTGAACACACATACCTCACACTTGTACACAAAGTTTTAAAAAGTGATTAAAGAAAAGGGAGGAGCCAAATAGTTTTAAGGAGATGGGTGGTGTCTGCATGCAGTGCGATGACAAGTTTATTTAAAATAGTGCCCTCACACACTTGACAAGTTTATTTAAAATCGTACCCTCACACACTTGAAAAGTGAGCTTGTTGATGGGCGTTTGCACCAGGGGACGAGCTCTCTGGGGACTGCTAGAGCTACGTGAGTCAGAGAGTAGGTGCAGCATCAGACGCTGAGCTGAGATAGCAAGACCCAGCGCACCCCGGAGCCAAGGGCTGGCTAGTGTGTGTTCTGAGGTTAAGTTCTCAGTGCTGCCAAGTGCAGTATTCACCAGGAAAACATCAGCTGCTGCTGTTGTGTCATTCTGTTGATTTTAATAATGTTTCCATCTATGTGACACATGGAATGGAACTCCGTGTTCTAGCCCATACGCCCAGTCTCAGGCAGGTCTGGACGGGGTTCAGCAGGGGCTGCCTGCTGTGTGAGTCCGTGTTTGACAGGGCGGGCTGCCTGCTGTGTGAGTCCGTGTTTGACAGGGCGGGCTGCCTGCTGTGTGAGTCCGTGTTTGACAGGGCGTCTAGGTGGTTTCTAGGTGGCCACTGCACCTTGCTGTCTGTTGTCCGCCTTTCTTTTCCTGCCCTTGGTTGCTTGAGAAACATCACATGACCACATGTTCCTGATGGACTCACATTGCACGTTGGAAAGTTTTTGTCTGCTTAAAAAAACACACATACAAGAAAATACCACAGAAATTTGTTTTTAAGTGTGTAAGTCCATCTACTAACTTAAAACATTCCCAACCTTACGTATTTTCTGCATGTTTAACTTAGACACACAGTTTGAGGTTAGCTTTGTCACAGTAAGGATGGGCTTTGTTGAGAACTGAAATACTCCACTTTCAGTCTTCACTGAATGAATGTTCGTCCAGTAAGAATTTGTTTGTTTGTTTTTTGAGGCAGGGTTTCTCTGTGTATTCCTGGCTGTCCTGGAACTCACAATGTAGCCCAGGCTGGCCTAGAACTTAGAGAGATTCACCTGCCTCTGCCTCCCGAGTGCTGGGATTAAAAGTGTGCGCCACCACACCTAGCAAGAATATTTAAACATCTCCTGCTCCTGATGGAAAGTTGGTTTGAAGGTTTTTTGCTTGCTTTCTGTTTCCTTGTCTGAGACAGACATTTACTTGGGTAGCCTGGGTTCCATGTTATTTTATCTTGTGCTTGTTAACCTTTTGGATGTGGTGTCCACCTTAAAATACTGCTTTAGCACTTTGAATTTTGTGTTCTGGGTTCTGATGATGTGTATCTCCTTTTACCTAATACTTTAACTCAGGCATTGCTTGACCTCTTATCAGATTTAGAGATATTTATTAAACACTTTAAAAAATGAAGCCTACAGTCATGAAAATCTCTAGAGTCGGTCATTTAGTGTTCGAGGCCCACTCTGCTAGGCATTTACTTCTTTTTCTTGACCATCCTTGAATTCAGAATATACGCTTTCATGCTTGTAGGTTAACTGCAGAGTCAAAGCTTTCAACAGAAGTGAAAAAAAGGAAAGAAACTACAAGCAAATTGGAAAAGGGGGCTTGTAAG